TGTGATAATATATATTTATTAATTCTTTATGAAAAATTATAATTTTTTTTCAAAGACAGAAAATATGATTTTCAATAGTAAGAACAAAATATTTTTCATGGATATCTATAAATATTTTGATATTGCTACAGCTGATACTGTCAGAATTGAAATGATGTTATTAGTCTGTATGTGCAAAGAGCATCAAAATATTTATATATTTATACAAATGTAAATAGTGAAATTTATCTTGCAGCATCATATTGAAAGGCAATGTGACTGTAGGAAAAATAAAAATACCACAAAGCATACATCGCAACGGATTGGGGACAGCAACACATTCACCGCTTGAATTTTTATTCAGGATTTAAGCATACATAATCAAGTATTGTTCGAAATGCCTCTTGTAAGACTACGGCAAATCGATAGCCTTTCTTTTCGTTTGATTCAAAATTGCAACAACTCGTAGTTAGAACATAAAGAGAAACTAAAATACAATAGGGAAAAAAAATGCGTTGCGTCGAAACGAGTTTATCATTGAACGTGAACGTATAACATCATTTTGCAATTTTTATGGTGATAGTCTTTTTAATTTAAAACATAAATTTAATATAAAAAATATGTTAAATTGAATATTTTTCTAACCAAAAATCAATCACTAAAATATAATACTTTGTTTAATATTAAAATATTGATGTCGTTACATATATACATAAATAATAATAATTAATATTAATAATTAAAGTTAATAGTGAAAGTAAACACACAACAACCTTCTTATTTTTTTCAATAAATAATTTTATGTAAAATAATTTTCGTGTTATATAAGTATGTTTAGCTTTTGCAAACTTCATGCAAGCATACATATATTGAAATCTGTTATGTAGCATGTTAAAAACATGAAGATTGATTATGCTTGTCACGTTCGATATAAGTTTGAATATTGAAGAAAATAAGATACATTTTCGTCATATTATCTTTTATTGTTATCATGAAAATAAAACGCTATTAACTAGAAAAAGTTTTTAAATATCTCATTTTAATTAAAACTTCATCAATATAAATATATAATTTCCAATTCCAGTTATTCCAGTTATTATACAGCCCCATACTATCATTAATCGGATTTAATAATTGCTTGCAAATTTGTCGTTGTTATTCTAAATTCTTTAATACTATTTAATCCGCTGTTATTAAAATAACAACACATGTGTGTGTGTATTATTTTTATTCAAAAATAATATTGCAGTCTGAAAAAAGTTTTGTATATTTGCTTTATAAAATTTAAATAAAGTTGTGTTTTCGCCAATAAAGTTTTGTCTTTGGAAATCAATCATTAAAATATTAATTTATAATAGCTTATAGTATGGTTTTTAAATGAACATCTTTCTTAAATTACGTAACCATTAATGCAAAGACTTGAAGTCAAAAAATATAAATATGAAAGAATACAATATATATTAAAATATATAAAGGATACAATAAATAAATAATGATAGATAGAGAAGTAATATTTATCTAAAAGTATATAAATATCTCGTATATTATGAATGTTTCAATAATTAATAATAAATAATGATTTCTGTATATGTATATCATTAAACAAAATTTGTTATTACTTTGCTTTAATATGTAAATTTTTACATTGATTATTTTTAACATTTTTTTCTTAGAAAAAAATATGCATTTATACTACATATGTATTAATATAACACACGCATTTCTTATATTTTTTGACTGATGTGAACATACATAATGACACATATAACCAGTCGTCAATGAAAATTTCGACCTGTGACAAGGTCCGCAAAGATCCATGATCGAGCATGATTCAATGCTAGTCCTTAAAGCTTTTCGTGCTTGACCGATTCGCGAATTTCCGGTTCCCTTATTCGATCCCGAAGACTGCCATACCTTTGCGGATATTGAGACGGATATAGGACGTACAATACAACGAAGAGAGATCGTGGCTGCTGTAATATCCGACGGTCTACGAAAGACTAGAAGGATAAAGAGAACAGAGAAAAAGAGATGGATAGATAGATAAATAAATAGATAGATAGAGAGAGAGAGAGAGAGAGAGAGAGAGAGAGAGAGAGAGAGAGAGAGAGAGAGAGAGAGAGAGAGTTGTTGGCCGCAAATTCAATACCCAGTGGGCTTTGTTGCGCTATATCAGAATAAATTAACACAGCGCGATTCTGCAAACTTGTTCGGGGCGAACTTCGATCTCGCTTAACAAAGTGCAGACCAGTCCGGATTGCAACGAGTTCACGGGTAAGTAGTTCGGAGTCTCGACAACAGGAAGTAACTACAGTTGCCGAAACTATCGGAAAGTCTTGGTAGAGCGAATTCATCCTTCTGTTGCTAAGTGAGAGCGCGAATGACAGTGTCGTTATGTCGAGGACAACAGAAGCTCAATCAGATAACTTGTTCCGATCGACATTAGGAAATGCTGGGAGCGCACACACACACACACCCACACACACACACACACACATACACATATTGGTGATTTGTCATCTAGTAAAGTGCTTACGAATTTCGAACTATTGTTTAGAGGGATGAAACGCAATAAGATACAATGACTAGTTTCAATTTAACGATAATATATTACGTATAATATATTATCAGAAAATTCATTTATGTAACTTAATCTTATGTCTCATATGCGAATTCTCAATAAATCGCTTTTCATGCAATAAAAATGTATGATAGCTATTATAGCTTTGTTGAAAAATTTTAGAAATCGAAGGCAATTAATGAATCATTAAATAAAATATTTTGTAAAATCTCTATAAAAAATATTAATAAATTCTTTCATAAAAAAATTAAAATTCTCTTTTGCACTGATTTAAAACGTAATTAATTTTAATAATTATTATTATACGCATGGATTGATAGATCAATCATCTATTATCTGTATGAACTATAATTCATATAATATCTGTCTGTTCGATTAATATCATGTACAATTGCATTTGATGGTTATACTAAATATAATTATACGCGATGCACTTTGTTCACATTAGATAGTATTACGCGAAGAACTTTTAAAAGATCCACGTATCTATCTCTTAGACGGAACATTCGTTGCGTATCACTGAAAACGAATTAGAAACTGTGTATCAATAAAGTACTGGAGATACACAACTTGATTACGACTAAGAGTGGACTCTCGAAACATCGAGTTTTCAAAGTAATGGATACGAATGTACTGATGAACCTAAAGTTTATCATGGCAACAACTTCGACCGAAGCATTAACCCACGCTTGATATTGCGATATATTAATATCAACGGATACTACAAATGCGGAAAGTTATTAATAAATTTAATTTAAATTTATTTAGTTTGAAAAACTTAAAAATATTTAAAAAATACTACAAAATTTAAAATTTTTGATATCGATTTTAAATATATTCTAAAAATGTCATAGCGTTTTTTTATATTTTTCCAATTATAAGGTTGATATATTTTTTGACATTGCTTACATATCCCAGCCGCAACATAAATTATTATTATTAAAGATATAGTTCTTTTTAAATATAATTTTAATCTTAAATTTATCATATTAAATTATGTTACGATAAAATATTTCTGAGATCAAATTTCTATAAAAAATTGACATAAAATAATTATTAATATATTTTTTATTGCATTATACTGCATAGTTAATATGCGATTATATATAAAATTCATGCAAGAATTCCGAAAGAAATATTAAGTTTTAGTATTGCAATAAAGTATAATAGTTTTATCAATATACTTAATTCCAGCAAAATTTATCCAAATTTGCTTTAAACAATATATTATATATTATTTTACGTTAAACAATTTGTTGTTTTACAACTCTTCAAATCAGATGCTGGCTGAGAAATATTTTTTTTATTTGTAAGAGGTCTTTTTTTTCTTCTCCATCAAACGCATTAAGCAAATATTCGTAATCTACATGATTAATCTAAGAAAAAGAAAATTTAGGAAATTTTATATATTCAATAATTTGTACATGTACGAAAAACAACAAAATTTATACAAAGGAGAAATGAGAATTTTCATCCACAAACGCGCATTAGAAGAGGAATTATAAAGATTAATAGAAAATAATGCTAAAAAAAAGCTTGGAAAAGTTTTGATATACTTTTAACGATTCTAAATTCAAGGTAAATTTATTAATTTTTTCAAATTTAACTACAACATTGTTATGAGTTAAGTTGCGTATCACTTTAGTTATTAATGGTATCTGTGTGTGTGTATGTGTGTGATAATGAGTTCTATCTTACATATTCACAATATCATCTTCTTGAGAGAGAGAGAGAGAGAAAAAGAGAGGGAAATTACAACAAGAGATGCGAAAAAGCGTTACACGTATTCTCCTAACATACTCAAAGCATCTTTACCACTTTATATTTACGCACATGCAAGCCTGGCAACAGCCTTTCGACAGTAATTCTAGCATGTAATTAATTTTTTAATTAATAAAACGTCTGACAAAGAGAAGAGTTTCGTTAAACAAGAAAGAGAGATAAGGAGGAGGAAATGACGTACTTACCGAGTTTACGCGCTGCTGCATCGCTATAGCAGAATGAGAACAACGCAGCAAAGATTGCATGAGTTCTTTATAGAAACATTATACCGTAAAATATAAGAGATATACGTGTGACTTGCATCATCTTCCCTGTATCACAAGATTGCTTAACCGTCATCTTTTAATTAATCATTATTCTGAGTCTTATTAAAATTATTCAAAATCAAGTGCATACTTTTTTACAATACAAATTTTTGTTATTTTAACATTTGATTTTTCTATAAATATACTTAGTATAATTAGCATTTATTTATTAGAATACATATATTGAATTTATATGAATTTATATTGAAAACATGTATTGATTAAATAAACTTTTGCACATTAAATAACTTTTTTAATATAAATTTTGGATGCATTATATTAATATGAAAATATATGGAATAGATTAGACTTATAAAGAAAGTGTGAGAGAGATACTATTCATACATACGAACCGAATAACGATAGTGGCAGGTGTAAACGACGAAGCACAATGAAAATTGGATTATTAAGTTCTCAGTAAGGGATCCCTTTCACGGTATTGAGTTAGCAGACTTCAGGAAGTCAGCCCGTTCGGATGAGAGGAGCGAAAAAGCAATAAAGACGGCGAAACAAAGGGATAATGGTGCAAGCTGCTGGTAGCAGCACTAACTGGGACTTAGGTCACGCGGATGGAAGCAGAGTGCACACGATGACAAGCCTGACGGAATACGTAATGCTATTGCGCGCGATAAGATTCTCCCGTCTGTTACAAACGTGAATATTCCAGTAATAATTCAAGCGACTGCCAGCAAATTGTGACTACAATTTATCCGATCTCTCTCTCTCTCTCTCTCTCTCCTTCTCATCTAAAATCTAACATCAGGCTCTTAAAAAGATATTAATAACAGTCTCATATATTAAAGCGCATGGAAATTGCACCTGAATAAATAATCAAATTTTCGAAAAGAGTTATATAAAAATGAGAATGACACGATGCATCATATTTTCCAATATACGCGTACAGATTTACATATTTTATGTGAAACAAGCAGGATCAGCCATTTATCAACACAGCAGATGTAAATTTGAGATGCGCGTGCAATTGCGTATATACAGATGCCTTTGAATTTATCATGTGCCCACATACAATCTTATTGTGTATATTTCAACTTATATATATAATACACGCATTTTCTCAGAAGCCGTATTGAAATTCGGATCGCGTAAACGTCATATACAGTACTAATTGTAAGAATTAATTTCCGAAAATTTGGAATATTATGTAAATCAATGATATTTGATATATTCAATATAAAAATTCATTAATATTTTAATAAATAAAATGCAAAATATAATAAAACACAACAACGATTTTAAACGAATAATTACATCGAACTATACATCTGTATATGATAAGTACATATGTACGTTTTAAAGCAATTACTATCTTATTAATAATGAGAAATTATAATTGTTATTTATCCTAATTGCAATTGTTAATTCATCTAAAACTTTCGGGATCGATTTATCGTACTCTCAATTAAAATCTATACATATTATGTTATTAATTATTAAACAATATGGAATTAATTAAATCATACATTGAATATATTGTTTACATGCATGTATAGTATGGTTTTATTATACTGATAAGCACATTTAGTTTACTATTAATAAAATATAATAATAGTAATTTTAATGAATCATTCATTCTTTCTCTTTTCAGAATTCTTCTTTTAAAATTTTTTTGCATCGTGCGCGTGTTAATTTTTAATAAGTTCAGTAAATTATTCCTTCGGGAACGTAATTATATAGTTGAAGCTTACTTTACTTACAGAAAATTGTTAGCGAAAACTTGTTAAAGCTTGGAGAACATGATTCTAAAGTAAAAATCTTTGTGAAGGAAAAACTGCAACTTGGAAATTAGCGCAATGATTGTGAAATTCTCACTCTTACAATCTAATATATTTAAATGTTTCCTATCATATACTTAATATTAAAATTTCAATATTTATGTTTACTCATATCATTAGCATGAATCCTGAAAAAATTGAAGTAAAATTAATAGTTAAGTTTAATAGAATTTGCTAAAACTTATAATATATATGTATAAATATTATATAGTAAGCAAATAAAACTAAATGTGTGTGTAATAAAGAGACTGATAATATTTTTCAACATAAAAATGTAGAAAATATTCTAAAGTTTTGTTAAGATTAAAGTTAAAATCTTTATTTCTAATGTATCATACTAAAGCTATAATAAAGCAAATATATATAATAAAGCAAATAGGAGGAGGAGGAGGAGGAGGAGGAGGAGGAGGAGGAGGAGGAGGAGGAGGAGGAGGAGGAGGAGGAGGAGGAGAAGGATGATTTGTTGATATTGTTAAGGCGCCGTTTTTCCTTAAACATCAAGGTTTATACATTTATATTTCAGTTTTCAATTTTTCTAACAATATAGAATATTTATAAATACGTAAAAAGGTTTTAAAATGTTTCCTAATATTGTTTCAATCATAATATACTTCTAATAAAATGCACTTTTGCTAAAATATATTATTTAGTAAAATATTATATACACATACCATGATATAATTATATACATTTAAGATTAAAAAATTATTATTGTTGATATAAAAAGTAGGTTTAAATTTTTGCTTAAGTAAAAAATGTTCCTTACCGTTAAAGAATATATTTTGAAACATTATCCATAAAATCGATACAAACGTATACGTATGTATATCTCAAGGAAGTAGTAAAACGGAAAAATATAACCACGTAAGGAGGTAAATCGTGCCAAATTACCGCAATAAAAAAGATTTGGCACCTATCTCAATAAATTTCATTTTAACACGCAATTACACTGATACAAATTTATAGTTTGTTTCTTTCCCGTACTTTATCTAAATATTATTATTTCAGAAACAACATAAGAATACAGAAATAACATAATTAAATATATTAATGCATATTATATATAATTGTGTAAATTATTCTACTTCTGTAGAATTTTTGGTTGTACTTTCAACAGATGTGATTTTTTAACCATATAATGTTTTAAATGTTAAGATACAAAAGATGTTACTGTAGATAAAAATATAGAGGTATAAAAAATAAAGCAAAAATATAAAACTCCACCCATTGAAAAAACTACATGTATTATAATTAAAGAATAATTTTGTTTTAAAAGTAGACTCTATTATATATCAAGAGCTTAACAAAATTTATGACACTTTCTGAGATTCATCTTTAAATACTTATTTTCATTTCATGGTCAAGGTCAGAGAATCTTCACTTCATAAATCTTACTTCGTAAATCATGACTTTACATAACTTCTGTTAAAATCACGGAATATAAATCGATCAAAAAGAATTACAGCAAAAATTATGCAGAAGCTACTATAGTCATAATTACTTCGTGTGATATCAAAATAAATTATCACTTCATCCTGTGGATTATTTTCGGTAATCAATTTTATTGTTAGTCTATTATCTCTGGAGAGAGAAAGAAAAAAAAGAAGAAAATCTTTGTCTTTATTTGCAATTACCAAGTATGCTGCATTTTATTTCGTACATTCGATTGCATGTCGAGCACATAAGTCGTTCGACTGTAGACATATAAATGTGGAGACAGTAATAAAATTGGAAGGAATTTATAGCTAATGATAGAAGTCGTGCCAATTTATCGTAATAGAAAAAAAATAATCGCATACATTTGTGAAAATCACGTAGTGCCATTACACGAAGAATGGAATTTACCTTTTGAAAGTGTGCACGATATTGCGGATCATCGCGCGCTCGCAATACTGAGATTCAAAGGATATCTTTGCGGAATAGTCATCGGTAAGTTGTGCCTAGCACGATAACTCGCATATTGTCGGGGACAGGGAAGTCGGTTAGTTGGATGGCTGCCGCAAAAGTTCCTTGATATTTTATTCATGGGCAAACTTATGTCATAAAAGCAATCCCCGTGTTCCTACCCCTTATTCTTCTTTTCCTGCTTTCATCGGCCTTTCTTATATTTTTCGCCTTTCTATTAACTTGGACTTAATGCATGCAAGAGGATACGTTAGTAAGCGAGATAAATTGCCTCATCAAGTCTTCGGTTATTTCATAATGCGCATCCACGTCACGAATACATTTACGTTTGATATTTTTAAAGAACACGTGTTCCTCTTTTAGAAATTTTCTATTGATCCACAATGATGAAAAGATTTATTTCTCAGCAATGTGTATATGTAATATATATAATTATATCTAATAACATTTAAATTAAAAGAAAAGTAATTAATCCATAATATGTATAATTTAAGATTTAAATAAAATTATCTTTGTATGTGTGTGTGTATATATATATAATAATTTTATCATAAATTTTTTTTATTAAAATTAGATTTTTATGAGAAGGCTCAATCTTTATAAAATCTTTGTAGATATTTTATAGAAGGTCTTATAAGAAAGCTATACATATAAAAAAATTTACTGTATATATATATATATATATATATATATATATATATATATATGACGTATAATGATATTATTTATATTCTAGAGAAATTCCAAAAACGTATGCATAATATATGACACAATATCACGTGCATAGTATATATAAGAGGACCACCCAACTAAATTACCCAAGCTAATAAATGTACCGAAAAATCGTGATATCCACCATGCAGCTTATGCGAAACAAGCGACCATGGATCAATGACGCATCACATTGACCTATTCGCCAGCTGGCTATGCAAAATATCAGAGTCAGCACCGGAACTTTCAACGCTCCATCACGCGCGATTTAAACAAGAGCTATCTATCATGCCGATTTTATATGCTTTAATGTATTAAAACATGATGTATGTACTTCGAATACGATGTATATATTATTCTAGAAATATATAAAGACAAAAAGAGAAATTAGAGATAATTATATATAAATGCTTCGTAATTTGCAATAAAATCTCTCTTTCTCTTTTTCTGTCATGCATATGATGTCAATTAATTTTATACGTCACTGATGAAAGAAGCGGAACATTATGGATTTATAATAATATGTTCAACATAAAAACGTATAAAAAACGTGTTATTTCATTCTCTGCATATATTCTCTGCAATATTGCATAATTTGTGCTTATGTTGTTCTAGAAAATATACTGTATTATTTCATTAAGAGAACATTCTAGTTATAAATAAACTTTTAATAGCAAAGTTAGATGACTAGTATAATTGATGATTACATTTTAGATTTTTATATTAACTTATTTCACTCTTATTTTATCTAATCTATTTAAAGAGCAATGAAAACTGAAGTAATTTCCACTTTAGACAAAGAAGATTTACTGAACTAGGTCGAGCCGTTCATGATTTGAAGCGAAAGCGGCGTATTCCTAATAGAACTCGAGTAAACCATCATAATTTTATGTGATATAATTTTCGCAACGTTTACTTCGTAACAATTATAATTGATTTATAAGGTAATTACTACGAAGCAGAAATATATGTCAGATGATATGTATTTATGAAGTTAATATTAAAAAAAAATCATATGTATGCACGAATATTATAAATTAAAAATCTTTCGTCACGTATACAATATCAAAGAATTTTTAAAATTATTAACCATTAACGTAAGTAAAAATTAATTTCTTAAATTCTTAAGTTTCTTGTGCCATATAGACATAATATAATTGA